CTGGGGGGCATCGGGTGGGTGGCTCTGTGCCGTGCCAGGTGCAGGGTCTGCTAGCTGGGTGCTGGCAGGCTTGCACCTGGCACGGGCACCGTAGCCAGCCCGTGCCCCTTTAAGGGGTCCGGGGCCGGGAGGGGGGCATAGAGTTTCCCTGGTGTTGGCCAGAGTGGCCACCAGGGAAACCTGGGAAGCCTTAGCCTCCCACTAGTTCGAACTAAAGGGCTACACAGCCCTTAGTTCGAACTAGCTAGTTCGAACTAGGCGTTAGTCCTCGTAAAATGAGGTTTACCTAGTTCGAACTAAGCGCTCCGTTAGTTCGAATTAAGTTCGAACTAACGGAGCGCTAGTGTAGCGCATAGGAAAGTTAGTTCGAACTAACGTCTGTTAGTTCGAACTAACTTTCTAGTGTAGACATACCCCAAGGGAGGTTTAGGTTGGACATTAGGAAAAGCTTCCTAACTGTCAGGGTGTTCAAACACTGGAATAAATTGCTCAGGGAGGTTATGGAATCTCCATCGCTGGAGATATTTAAAAGTAGGTGAGATAAATGTCTATCAGGGATGGTCTAGACAGTACTTGGTCCTGCCATGAGGGCAGGGGACTGGACTCGATGATCTAGTATTCTGTGATTCTATGACATTGTCCTGCTTAGCACTACTTATTGCTTAATGGAAGGAAAGGCACCATTTTTGGCAGACACAACAAAATAAGTTGGTTTGTTCACCAACAAAGGGAGGACAAAATATATGACTCCCATTGTCCCAAAGTAACCTCTAGCTAGAGCTACGTGTCTGGCATCATGTGGGTTACAGGAGCTACACGTTACACACAGAGGGAAAAAGCTCCAGCAACATGGGAAGGCCCCGGCAGTGGGACATGACACTCTTAAAAATAACAACATAATGTGGCATTGCTTTGGGCCATGTGGACAGCCTGTGTGGGATATATACTGGGGGTTCAGGCATGTAAGGCACTCTACTTACCTAGAGAGTGTCTCATCATCTACACGCTATCTACCTCAATACAGGCTGACCATGCTGCGTCTGTACTGTACGTGCCACTGTAAGTATAGTGTAGGATAAACCACTAGAAGAGGAAAGTTGTTTTACATGTCTCAGGAGTCAGATATACAACAATGGGGATGTTAAGCAACGAATATCAAGAGCAGCAAACAATTTTCATAAACTTAACACGATGTAGGAAACCAGCAAGCTTGTCCCTGACCCAAAAATAGGGTTCTTGAACACTGGCATCATGTCTGTCTGTGTTGGGTGGGCTGTCTCCCCTCCCCCCACACACTAGCCTAGAAAGGTTTGTTGAGGAAGGACCAGTGAGGCAGACAGACCACAGTTGAGGGGAAGTAAGTGGCCTAAGTAACCAAAGATGGATGATGGAGCCCAGCTGAGAAGGAAGAGGCAGGGCTAGTATAAAGCCAGGAAGTTGGCAAGAGAAAAGTGACCACGGTGAGAGAGTCTGCAGCCATGCTTTGGATGTTAGAGAAGGAAGTAAACTCAGGGTAGGAATGGCAATCACACAGGATCCAGGCCCTGGAGGAAGGGTTTATCCAGTAAGGAAATGGAGCAAAAGCCTGAGAGACGCAGAGTGGGGTAAAGAAAATGGCAGTCAGGTAGAACAATGCAGAGTTTGGCAGCTAAGTAGGTGGTCCCTGAGATTAAACCTGTTGCAGAGAGTGAACCTGAGTTTCCCTTCCAGCCACAATAGAAGTGGCAGAGTCAGGCCATGGGAGAAAATTGTCATTTTGGAT